TACTTCCAACACAGAAGCCACAAAATTGCAATAAATGGAAAAATCGGCATACCGTCTTTAATAATTGTCCAGTTGAAACGATGGAGATTAATACGTCATTAACAGGTACTGAAAATGAACTTCAGAATATACTAATTCACACGATCACACTTCTTAATCTCCTTGATCCCATACGCCCAAACACTAAGAAAACGAAACCTCTAAACATCCATCTAAACTAGCTGTCGCATTCATAACAACTGACAAGGACACTTTGACAGAAAACGTCATCAATCCACACACAAGAGGTACAACGGACTACCTCAAATTTGCCTTCGATTTGTGCTGTTCCGTAGAACCTTTCAGAAGAAGTAACCATGTTATGGCATCGAAAGAATCTTCGACTTTGTGTCGCCTCAAGGAACAGGCGTATAAAGGCAAGAACTGGCCGGAAGTATAGCGCTTAAAAGCATACATTAGACAAGAATTATTCAGGATCGAGTGGAAATTCTTTTAAGACATAGTAAAGGTCAACTCATCATCACGTGATCTGTGGAAAGCAATTAGAAAAATTAGTGGGACAAACGCAACGACACCTTCCACGGCGACGTTACCTCGATTAACATGCTAAGCGGTCATTTCCTGAAATACGGAGATAGTAAAGGTCTCTCAAAATATTTGCAAGAGATTCTGTACGAACCGGAACCAGCGCGAGATGAGCAACTGCGGTTTACCGAAGAGGAAGACCATTACCATATCTCCATACAGCCTTGGGGCACATCTCCAGTCCACAATGGTGTAGAGGCGGCGGGACTCAGTACGCATGTACAACAAGTCACTGGTGCTGAGCACGTTAACCGATTTTTGGCACAATGGCGAAGTTTAGCTTCTCCATAAAGTAGCAAATCCAGTAGCACTGAATGACAGGCCAATTATCTCTCAATCGGAACTCGTGAAAGTTGTCGAGCAACTCATTCGTAGTGTTATGCGCGAGAAGATCGAGCCCCAACGAGACAACTGGCATTCGAACGCAGAGTACAGCGTAACATTGTTGATGCTCGCCCTGTTTACTGATAGAGTGACTAGCAGTCTAGACGATGGAAAATGTGGAATGAGGGCAGTGTTTCTCGACCAATCTTCGGTATTCAACGAAATACCGCGGAAGAAACATCCCGCCGATGTGATTAACTGTCAAACACAATCACATTAAGCTGTTTTTGTAGGTGCGGTGTTTGACTATATCGAAACAACCTTGGGGTGGTGCAGGGTTCAGTTCTTTTACGTAGAATCTTTATTTTGTAAGTTAATATGGATTGCACAGAAAAGTCGATAACAAGCATCAAATCCACCGACCTACATTGCATTCCATCAGAACAATGGCTGGCTATCGCACTGAAGTGGACAAACTAAGACAGTCTGTTTCTGATCTCGATCTCATTCTGAATGTTTCAAAGTCAGTCAAACGCCGATGTATAATGCAGCACACTAGCTCTGCTTCTCGTCGGCTACTCCACCATGCGACCACGGCAATAAAAGGCAAGTTCCTACAGCTGACAGAGGAGATAATATATCTTGGTGCATGGTGTAGATACACTTTCGGTCTACAGACTGACAGTGGCATGATCATGCCTCAGTGGTCTTCAAGAAAGTCCACAGAGAGAGCTATTATCTCAAAAGTTTAATCGGATCCATAGCTTTGTGGAAGCCTGTATATAATATTATGCTGGGCCGGTAGCTTTACCATCTTCATCTTCATCTTCCATCGCCCCTTCTCCTTTCGGGTCGCGGGCTTTACCAGTAATGAGTAAATTGCATTTGCTTCTCATACGTAGTGCCATAAACGTAATATCATGAATTGAACATATGGGTTTCGAGCCTATGACGAAGGCCAATCGTTAACCGGATAATATCAGGTTCTGTAAAAGTTGGAGGTAAAGATTTTAACAAAAACGGTTCCCACCCGTTCTGTGAATCGATGTCACGATGCAATTCGAATAGAACAAGTGGATATACCAAATATTTTTACAAATACTAGAACGGAATTGAACAAACGATCGCCAGACACATCTATATCCCGCGTGCTGCTTAATGCTTGTGAAATGGAAAGTAAACTGTTACACAACCTCTTCGAAAAGTCTCGTATATTCATAGGCAGTAATGATGAATATATGAATTATTCTATGATATCATGATGCACAATGGACTAACTTCGTTGCCTTCTGTGACGATTTTCTAAATCGTTTTTCGAATAATACTGTCAGTCAGTTATAACATTCTAACAACTTACTAAAATCACAATCCTACGATTGCTGAGCATGTTGCTTTTAATCAGATGCTATCACTATTTCGTTAACTTTTCAACGAGTTGCTTAAACAATAAATGAAAATACGAATGGAAATGCTATTACTTTTTGTGCCTTAATTTATCACCAGAGTCTAGTCGAAATTGAAGGTTCCTTTCGATAGCACA